GAACTGCTTGTTGCCACTGTGTTGGATGTGGCCTGCGAATTCTGCAGCATGCCTACGCGCATCTGACTAGATGTAGCGGCCAGGAGAAGTAGCCATAGCTGCTGCAGTGGCTGTTGCCGCTGCTAGCGCTTGCTCTGCCGTTGCTGCTGCTTCTCTAGCTCTCTGCAAGCGTTCAGCTGCTGCTTCCTGTCACAAAGCCCTCTCTCCCTCGGGGGTAAAGCTCGGTGCACTATTGGAACCCTAAGGGACTCCTGACGTGTCACCCTCCTTCCTACATATCTACCCTCACCACTGCCTGATCCACTCATCAGCTAGGCAGACACTGTCTGCACTACTTCCCTCATTGGGGCCTACCACAACATGTGTCTGACCGAGTTGAAAAATAAATAAAAATAAAATAATATTCAGTAAGTCACCTAGGCTACTGTTCAAGTGGTATCAACAACATTCACACAAACTGTACAGATGATCTACTCCTATCTTGATTAGTTTCACTCACAGCAGTTTCGATCAGAACTGGCTATGGTAGAATACTGCAGTACTAATCTAGGCTGTTTGTTAGGTGTTAGCAGTCTGTCACCAACAAATCAAAAAAAAAAAAAAAAAACATGTGAGCAGATCTATGCACAATGGGTTGTGATTAACAGTTGAGCGTCAACTGGAATCTCCCTCCCCTGTATCCAACGTGTCTGTCCGCATCATCAAGCAGCGGTGTCTAAGGTGTGCATTAACGGCCCACCCCTGCGCCCAGGAATATGCTTATGACCAGCACTGCCCTTTCTTTATCCTCGCGTGCAACGAGCCTTACGTCTGACTGATCTGGCTGATCAAGAGGCAGTTCAAGGACAGCCCCCAAGGTCCTCAAGAATTATTTAACGTCGCAGACAGGACGACAATCACAGTCAGTCTACAGTTCAGAACCCCGCCAGAAATGTTTATAGACGGTCTGGTAAGCATCTGCATAGGACTGGTCAGTCCGCACTCCCTCTATCAGCGCAGCAAAGAGCCTTAAGGGACAAAGCAGCATGGCCTGCGTGTAGTACTCCCATGGGTTGGCATGGTGACCGTGACCCGTGCTTCGACCAGGGCCCTTCAGAGGCACCGCCCTCTCCTGCCAGATGCGCCGCCGGGAAGAATGTCGTCTCTCCAGGTAGAGCGCTCACGACTCCTCACGAAGAGAGGACACTCAAGGTTGGACTCACTTCCTCACGGTAAGAAGAGATTGAGAGGGTAAATAAGGTAAGGGAACAAGGTACCTGGAGATAGCTGCCCCCAACCACAGATTTATCACCAATTGACCCAATGTGCATTTTGATGACCGGTCGTAGCTTCGGTACCACCCACAACGCAATGCAGTGCCACCTCAGCCAAAATGCCACAGCAGCATGCTCTCATCATCATACATACATCCGCTGTCTCCACAGCTCCCACGTTGTCAGCACATCCTTCCTGTGACGCACCCCTCTACGCCGGTGTCGCATTGTCAAGCCAGCGCCAATGTATCCTCACTGCACAGAAGCGTCGTCAGTGCACCAAGTAACAATGTTGCTGGCGGTACATAGGCGATCTAGAACCAGTTCCGATACCAAATTGCAACGAATATGAGCGAGAGCGGAATACAGAAAACCAAGTTCCAAAATCACGCAGGAGTCCAGATAGTCATGTAACAAGCAAAGAGCTGAAATGCACCAAGATTCCATCCAAATAAGAGCAATACAGCTGAAATGCACCAAGATTCCATCCAAATAAGAGCAATACAGCTGAAATGCACCAAGATTCCATCCAAATAAGAGCAATACAATGAACTCGTGAGCCAATGTTCAAGCCCTCAGGCCACACCAACGCAATATTCAATGACGCTCCTCTCTGTCTGGCGCCCAGCACCCAGCCTACTCTAGTCGTCCTACCTATCCAACCTACGTTCATGCGACAGGCTCACTTCGACTCCGCAGACCAATGTACATGTCGTCAACACCAATGCCGACCTCCCACATACACCAGGTACGTACTCTCGTCTCCCGCATCACCCACTCATCACCCCCTGACCACCCACTTCTGTGCCTCCTCCCGAAGACCCCCGTCGCCTACTCTAGCCGTCCTACCTATCCTACCTACGTTCATGCAACAGGCTCACTTCGACTCCGCAGACCAATGTACATGTCGTCAACACCAATGCCGACCTCCCACATACACCAGGTACGTACTCTCGTCTCCC